GAGGCTGAGGGTAATGTAGAGTTGATTTGATATAGTTTTTCACCCTAATGATGCCAATGCTGTCTTTTGCCCAACAAAAGGCCTATTTATTCATGCATTTCTTTCTTCCAATTCTAGCATTGCATTCAGTGTGGTTAATGGTCAGGAACAGGCCATTTCAGTCAGTTAATTCCTTGATATGATGAATCTGACAAGGATCCTCAGCTTAGAGAGGGGTTTCCACATGCAGCCACCGAACGGCTCCGTCTTGAATTGCTCTTATTTGTCATACGGCTTAATACTGTATAATTTGGTCTGCTGAGTTAATTTGCCAGTGAGCTGCTAGTGTCAGCCAAGAGAAAGAAAAAGCTAAATGAGGGAGTATTTCCAACCAAACAGTGGGGCTAATGTCAGAGCAGGTTAATTGAATCCTGGGTGTTTGAGTCTGAGGTGGGCGTACGGTAGGTAGACTGACTGAGTGTTCTATGATAACACAAACTAAACTGCTTTACTTTGTCACAGTTGATCCAATCGTGCATAAACCAGTTGACAGCATGCACACGCACGCATGCAATTAAAAACGTGCACACCCGCACGAACACACACACCTCCCCTGTTTTATTGCACATTTGAGACAAATAACGAGTGTGGATAGATAGTACAGTAGCAGGAGACGTTGCCTGAGCCGTGCAGAGATTTGGAGAAGTATGCAATGCTCTGTTGAAAGCTTGATACGGTCAACTGAAGTTTGTGGCTTGATGTAGAAGTTACCCTTAAGCACATATCTAGGATCAGATTGCCCTAGCCGCTAAGAACTTTTTTACAAGAACAACTTAACAAACAAATATCTGACCCTGTAACAGTTGTAACACTTATTCCCAGGGTGTGTCCATCTCAGATCTGACATACAGTCATGGCCAAAATTGTTGGCACCCCTGAAATTTTTCCAGAAAATGAAGTATTTCTCACAGAAAAGTATTGAAATTACACATGTTTTGCTATGCACATGTTTATTTCCTTTGTGTGTATTGGAATAACACAAAAAAAACCAGGAAAAAAGCAAATTTGACATAATTTCACACAAAACTCAAAAAATGGGCCGGACAAAGTTATTGGCACCCTTTCAAAATTGTGGATAAATAAGTTTGTTCCAAGCATGTGATGCTCCTTTAAACTCACCTGGGGCAAGTAACAGGTGTGGGCAATCTAAAAATCACACCTGAAAGCAGATAAAAAGGAGAGAAGTTGACTCAGTCTTTGCATTGTGTTTCTGTGTGTGCCACACTAAGCATGGAGAACAGAAAGAGGAAAAGAGAACTGTCTGAGGACTTGAGAACCAAAATTGTGGAAAAATATCAACAATCTCAAGGTTACAAGTCCATCTCCAGAGATCTAGATGTTCCTTTGTCCACAGTGCGCAACATGATCAAGAAGTTTGCAACCCATGGCACTGTAGCTAATCTCCCTGGACGTGGACGGAAGAGAAAAATTGATGAAAGGTTGCAACGCAGGATAGTCCGGATGGTGGATAAGCAGCCCCAAACAAGTTCCAAAGAAATTCAAGCTGTCCTGCAGGCTCAGGGTGCATCAGTGTCAGCGCGAACTATACGTCGAAATTTGAATGAAATTAAACGCTATGGCAGGAGACCCAGGAGGACCCCACTGCTGACACAGAGACATAAAAAAGCAAGACTACAGTTTGCCAAAATGTACATGAGTAAGCCAAATTCCTTCTGGGAGAACGTCTTATGGACAGATGAGACCAAGATAGAGCTTTTTGGTAAAGCACATCGTTCTACTGTTTACCGAAAATGTAATGAAGCCTTCAAAGAAAAGAACACAGTACCTACAGTCAAATATGGTGGAGGTTCAAAGATGTTTTGGGGTTGTTTTGCTGCCTCTGGCACTGGGTGCCTTGACTGTGTGCAAGGCATCATGAAATCTGAGGATTACCAAAGGATTTTGGGTCGCAATGTAGGGCCCAGTGTCAGAAAGCTGGGTTTGCGTCCGAGATCATGGGTCTTCCAGCAGGACAATGACCCCAAACATACTTCAAAAAGCACCCAGAAATGGATGGCAACAAAGCGCTGGAGAGTTCTGAAGTGGCCAGCAATGAGTCCAGATCTTAATCCCATTGAACACCTGTGGAGAGATCTTAACATTGCTGTTGGGAAAAGGCACCCATCCAATATGAGAGACCTGGAGCAGTTTGCAAAAGAAGAGTGGTCCAAAATTCCGGGTGAGAGGTGTAAGAAGCTTATTGATGGTTATAGGAAGCGACTGATTTCAATTATTTTTTCCAAAGGGTGTGCAACTAAATATTAAGTTAAGGGTGCCAATCATTTTGTCCGGCCCATTTTTTGAGTTTTGTGTGAAATTATGTCAAATTTGCTTTTTTCCTGTTTTTTTTGTGTTATTCCAATACACACAAAGGAAATAAACATGTGCATAGCAAAACATGTGTAATTTCAATACTTTTCTGTGAGAAATACTTCATTTTCTGGAAAAATTTCAGGGGTGCCAACAATTTTGGCCATGACTGTATGTTGCCAGGCAGACTTGTCTTTAGCCAGTAACAGTTGGACCGACCAGGGTCCCGCTTATACACTATTACACTACAGCAGGCCTGGAATATCGTGATTTTAGGGGCAAGGCCATTTGGCCTTCAAGAGGTGCCCAATCTGCCAGTGCACAAGGGCATCTGCTAGGGCACCAAGGCCATCTGCTAAAGCACCGCCATTAAACAAACACTAGCTATTCTGTTAAAAAAAACATAAGTCTATGTAAATGTACATAAATAATTTGCCTGCATGTCAAGTGCTTATTGGCTAGTCTCATGTCCAGACGGATGCTGACAGGAGGGAGGTACCAGAAAATGTAGCCAAACTTTAATGAGACTTTTTAAAATTACATATATAGGCTAAACGCCAATCATGTTTGACAAATATAGTTTAGGATAATTCATATTAACGTCTAAAGGCTTGATTCTGTCATACTCAAGGAGCTGTTTGTTCAGATAGGAGAGAAAGGCCAGTGCCTGTTCTACACCGCAACATCACCCACCTTGCAATCTGAGCGGAGGCAGTCAACATTTTAAAACGATTTAAACATAAACCATAATTGTTTAAAAACTGGACATATTTTTGTCATTTTATGAGGCATGTCTTACCGTATTCCGACCATAGGAATGTTAAGGGGATTATTTTATAAACACTTCCTCATATGCCATTCAATCCAGTTTTCTCTCATGTTCTCAACTTTCTTTCGTTGACCAGCAGCCAAAGACACAATCCTAGTCAACCCATGCTAGTTGTTTCATCTTTAGATATTCTCTTTCTAAATTTCCAAAGGATATTTTTGCAGTGTGCTGTGAAGAACGGTGTTTTCCCCTAATTGCATTTTGGAACATTCACGCTTATAGCCTACTGCGGTGTGCACATTGCTACTCTTATAATTTGAAGAAATAGCCTAATAGTTTATCAACATTTTAAGCAAGACATTCTGACCTACTGCATCAGTCTCATTGCTATTACATATTTTTTGGACATATAGTGGTTGTATTAATTTGGGATCTATCGTCCCACAACTGTCCCAGAGTCAGTTTGGAATATTTATTTCTCGCACAAAATGACAAGCTGACCAATAGAATGTCAATGTTTGTACTATGGGGATAGTAGATTGACCAAGGCTAGTGCTTTGGCTGTTGGTTACTCATCTTTTTGGCTGGACAGTTCTAACATCTTCAATATGCGCCTCGAAATTCGATAAAGGACACGCGCCGTTGCATCGCCGATCACTAGTAGCCTACTTCGGAGCTGCGATGCCTGTGAGGAGGACCTGATCACATGACTGGCATTGGCTAATAAGCATTGAGATATCTGAGAGAGCCATGTGAGAGGTGCTTCGGAGTAGGGCGATTGGCAGCCGGGAGAAGGACATTATCATTATTATATTCAGCCCAAGGGCACAACGGCCACTTTGGCCGCAAGGCATGGATCTTTTTAGGGAGCATTATGGCCACATAAGGGGGGTGTCGATGCTGCCGGGAAATTCGATGCCTGCGCTACAGTGCTGTTGATGGTTTCCTACTGGACAGTATTAAAGGTACAGTACTGTTGAATACATATTACAGTAGTATAGATTGCCCTCTCTATACACTGTTACATATAAGACATTAGTCCCCTGCTGTCTGGGACACTCAGTATCTCCTCATGGTGCCTCATTAAAACAATAAAGAAACAAGCTCCTCTGACTCAATCTCTACAGCAGGCCTAGTCCTCCCATTGACTTCACCATACAGCTCAACATGGTTAGCTCCATGAATATATTTACTAGATTGCTTCTTTGTGTTGCCCAGTGATATTTATTAGATGTTTTTCGAGAGGATGACAAGTGTGTAGAAGTTTAGTTTTTCTGGCTTGGACAATATTTAGTTCAGCGAGGTTCAATGGATTAACTTGTACCCAGGGTAGGATGCTGCTGGTAAAATGACAAAGAAATATGACTAATGCTGAATAATGCATTAATTCAAGTGTCTTGTTTTCAAAGCCCAACTCTTTTAGTTGGTTATTACTTTTGTTCAGTTCCTTTAGTTGAATTCGTAGTAGTATGTGAATTTACAAAATCCTACAGTAGTCAAACAAGTGTTTTTGTCTTTCATATTAACCCTAACCTTTATCAGCTGTATATTCTTATACCTTCTATCTAGTCTGTTCTGCTAATAATCACTCCACTAACGCCTCAGTACACAACTGTAGAACTGCTGAGCTTGCTTTTTCTATTATACACACATTCCCTGCCTATAATACTGAAATGTTTACTATGAAACTGTATGTATTTTCTCTTCTCTGCAATATAATGAAAGCTGTGGCCAGTAATGTTTTTATAATCTGCATATTTCTATTGTCTCTCTACTTCTTATTTTGTTGCCATGATATATTTCTATTAATTTGTATTAAATAGTGAGAATTCTAATTCTAAAGCGGAACATGGCATTGTCTTGTTTCTTCTTTATTCTACAGAGATGTTGAAGGAGTTGAACCAACAGCGCAGAACGAAAGAGTTTACAGACCTGAAAATAATTGTTGAAGGCAAAGAGTTTGAAGTCCACCAAAATGTTCTAGCTTCCTGCAGCCTTTATTTCAAGGACCTGGTGAAAAGGTTTGCCTTCCCTTCCCCACCAGCTGTTGATCCAATCTGTTCTTTTTGTAGGGCGCATTTGTGTTGCTTTTCCCCCTATCCCCCCTTTCTCTGTTGCAGGTGTGTGAAGACTTTGGTTCCTATCACAGGGCCAGCAGCCACCCACTCCTTCCTCCTTCTCCTTCTCCTGCTCCAAATGAATGTATCACTAAAACCATTTAATGGAAAAGGTTACCCTATCTAAAGTCTTTACCTTTTCCTCCCCATAGAGACAATTAACCATATTTACAGTTTGATGAGCAGGGAAAACGTTCCATGACTGGGGGGATCTTTTAGAGACTACTGTAGGGGGCTTTAACCCATCTAAACAATAACACATTATGCTCTTTGGGGTGGTAATTATGCCAAAGCAACAGTGTGTCATATGGGATGTAGTAGGGAGGGGTTTTATCTCTAAGCTACCTTATTTCTGCGTCTGTCTGGAGCGTTTGAAGAGAGAACATCCTTTCATGTGCAAATGGTTGGGAGTTTACCGTTAGTTCATTGAAGAGATGGGGAAGCTTCAGTTGCAAGCAAAGGACAAAGCAGACCGAGGCACATCTCTCACTGCTATGCTTTACCCAACCATTACTTTCACAGGTTAACGCCATTCTCCATTAATGTATTCATTTGAACTGGATTGAAGTATTTCCTCATTACTCGATCCTTCACGTCTCTGGGCTGTTTTGGTTCTATATGGTGCTAGTATGTGTTTCTTGGTTGTGTTTGAGAAGAGTGTGTGTGAGAGAGTAGTGGTGTGTTATTTTCTTCACGCTGAGGCAAAGCCCTCTCCTAATATCCTCACCCTGTCTTCAGATCCTTGCAGGTGCTTGTCAACTTGATTCAGACAGAGCCCCGGAACCAATGTTTTCTCGTCTCCTTGACATGTTTGTTTTCCTGTGCACTGCTCACAGACAGACAGAACAGACAGACAGACTGAACCAATGGAAACTGTAGCGAGAGAGACTGTATATTACAATAGGAAGCTCTAGTCTAAAGTGTGCCTGCTAGTTGCCCTGCAGCTATGCAGGCTCTCCTGTGAGATCAGAGGACGCCACGCTGCTTATCAGACATAGAGGTGAGCCATCCATCTAGTGAGCTAGCCAGGAAATGCTTTGTGTGTGTCAGTCACACCAGCAAGCACAACACACAGGCCAGAAGAACACACATTCTCACACACACACACAAGTTTGTTTCTGCTCAATGGAGATATGTACTGAGAATAGTGAACACAAGCCCTCTCCCAACCCCACGCAGGGTCCCCAGAAAGACACACAGTCCCCATAGGAATGTCAATTTTATCAGGTTACGTTCATCTGACTGCCTGCCTGCATTCTGATATTGTACTGGTTAAATGTGGCTGCTTGACAGAGCAAATTCTCATTAAGTGTATAATTAATTGTAAAAGGGCCTTAATTTGTCATAACGCAGGCCTTTCTCATCTAGACTAAATCAAAAATAGAATTTAACTGTACAGTTAGTGGAATATATTACATGAATATGTTATACTAATTAATACGTTTAATTTGCATAATCGTCTAATTATTAACCGTATAGGTTGTCAACCTTTTTGACATGATAAAGTTCTAAGAATTTATCATACATGTACAGTAAAAGTCAATAACTGCTGTTGACTTAATAAGGCACGTGGCACCTCTCGGTTTTATTGTGGTGTTTACTGGAGAACACAACACTGAGATGGAGGGAGGGAGACGTGCCGTTTTAACCCTGGCTGTCTGAGGTGTTGTGCTGTCAGGCAAGGTGTCACTGGGTTGGTTAAAGCAGAGTGGGAGAGCAGATCCCAGCTGAGTTACAGCCTCTCTGTGCCATTCAGGTCACTCTCCAGAGAGTGTGGAATTATGCTGATGCCACGCATGCCCCGCACTCCGTCCAGATCCTTGAGGTCGAATGAGAGAGAAACACCCTCTATGCTGTGCAGCCCACTAGCCCCACTGTGCAGAGGTATTCACTGTTGTCATAACTCAATATCAGCGCCTCATAAACTGCCACTGTGTGTGTGAGAGAGGCGCAGGCCCATAACTCTCGGGTGTTCTCCAGGCAGCCAGCCATCACTCAGAAAGAGTAGAGATGGAATATCAGAGGGTGAGCGAGTGGAGAGTGCATGTCGCTGCTTATTTACACTTACACACACACACATTCACACTTACACACACAATAAATTTGTTTCCGTGAAGTTGAAAAGTAATGATGCAAATTCTTGTTTACATTCACAGTCATTTTCATTTAGTAGGTTGTGTATACAGTTAAGAAATAGATTAGTAAATTACAAAGCAATAAAGCACCATATCTTTAGAAAATGGTTTTAAAATATATATTTATGTGATTTATAGTCGAGTCATTAAATTTACAGTATGTGAGTTTAAGAGATGTGTTTTCTGTATCATACCCAGGCTATTTCCTGTTAAGTAAAAAAATAAAAAATAGATCATAATATTTAGAATGGTTTCAATATTTCATGTTATAAAAAGCTAATTTATAATCAGTTCCCTGAAAGGATCAGAGAAATTAGATGATGATAGATGAATAGCAATGAATGATTATCGCTAAAAGATGAAACCACTACAGATGTTAAAAATGTCCATCCAGTTTAACTGCTGATATCTGCAATCTCATTAATTTTATGTAAATCATAAGAAAATCCTCATTTTTTTATGTTGCATTTCCCACCCTTGTAGACTATAATATTGTATTTCAATAAAATCTTAAAGTAACTCTCACCTCACTCTGTCTGAAGTACAAGTCTGCAGAGTTGATGTACTGTACTGACCCTGCTACCTGAAAGAGGTAATACAGCGACAGAATGTGCATGCACGCACGTCTGGCACTCACACACCAAAAACCTATCACCTCCCTTTAGAGCAGTGGTATTCAAAATGTAACAAAAAAAACCCACATACATTAGGAGTTACAGATTATTGTATGGGACAATCTACTGAACAAAGATATAAAAGCAACAATTTCAACGATTTTACTGAGTTACAGTTCCTATAAGGAAATCAGTCAATTGAAACAAATTAATTACGCCTTAATCCATTGATTTCACATGACTGGGCAGGGGTGCAGCCATGTGTGAGCCTGGGAGGGCATAGGCCCACCCACTTGGGAGCCAGGCACCCTCACTGGTGAGACTGGCCCAGCCTATCGGAATGAGTTTTCCAGACAAAAGGGCTTTATTACAGACAGAAACAATCAGTTTCATCAGCTGTCTCAGACGGTCCAGCAGGTGAAGAAGCCTTATGTGGAGGTCCTGGGCTGGCATGGTTACACGTGGTCTGCAGTTGAGGCCAGTTGGAAGTACTGCCAAATTCTCTAAAACAACGTTGGAGGTGGCTTATGGTAGAGAAATGAACATTCAATTATCTGACAACCGCTCTTGTGGACATTCTGCAGTCAGCATGCCAATTGCACGCTCCCTCAAATAAATTATTGGGAAAAATGGGATTCTGAGAAATTTGGACGGAAATAATGGGGTCCCTGCTGAAAAAGTTTGAATACCACTGCTTTTGAGGCTGCTGCTGCTGCTCAGCCCATAAAGACCACACACACACACACACACACACACACACACACACAGAGAGAGACCCCCGATCATCCCCAGTAATTCAATTTTCCCCCTCTGGAGTTTCGATAAGAATGCTCTGTACACCCTTAATTTATGGGCACAGTGCATCTGGTGCAGCTCGGTGGCAGGGCCTAATGTAAAAGCACACACTCTCTGAGCAGTCCTGACACACCAGAGCTTTGTTCTGTTTGTTGCCTTTTTTCTCTCTTTGTCTTCATATGCTTCCCACTCTCCCAGGCCAGAGTCTACGACTGGAAGAGAAGAGTAGAGAGTGGTACTAAAACTTTTACGGTCTTTGTCAACATGCTCTCTGGGTGGTAAAATCCCCCAGCTGAGATTCTAGTGAGCTCTTACTGTTCCCTTACTACTGTCCTGTGTCAGATAGACAGTATGCGTTACAGTCTACCCAGCAGGCAAAACTGAAATACGTTGAAACAACGTCATTACAGCCAGTTCATAAGCAGAATGACTTCATTCTAACCAGCTTTGCCTGCTGGGTGCAGTACTGCGTGCTGCTCTGCATCACTGTAAACCATATGGGCACAGCAGTGGAAAGCATAATCAAACCTAGAAACTTATGATGGACCCTCAGATCAACAGCTCAGTGTAGACAAGTTTGAACAAGGATTCTTTCCTCCCCATCCTATGTCTCTACAGAAGCGGTGGTAATAATAATAGTCCAAAATAAAGGAACTGGCCTTTTTAAAATAATTGTACATTTTATTCTCTCATACAGCAGCATTTACTCCCTCAATGCTTTGCTCTTAAGACCAAAAACAGCAGTTTGTCCAGCTCAGGATATGATTCTGAACCTCCGTGCCCACAGACTACTAGCTGTGACACTCTGTGGCCGCTCAAAACACACTTATGGTGCTTTTCCACTGAGACTTACCCCCACACCAGCTCGAGTGTTATCGTGTTTTCATCATGAGTGTGACACTAAAGATTTGTGAGCAGAATCAACAACCTCTGCATCATTCAAGACTGTTGCTTTGTGAGAATGTCTTAAAGTTCACAGTTTGCCATTGTTATGTAAATGAGGCTTAAAAGTATCCAGGGCCTTGCCTTGGCTTCAAGTCAGAGCAGGTCCACCGGCGCCATTGACCCAGTGAGACACGGGTGCCGGCCCGCATAGATGGAAACAGAAAAGTCTGAGCCTTTTGGGTAAAACACTGGGGTAAATCCTCAGTGGAAATGAGCCATTATAATACCGATGTAAGTACTGGTTCTCTTTGTGTGGCTTGAAGCCTCCAATATGAAAGAACAAGCAGAAACAACTACTAACTTTGTCAAGCGATCAGGCACTCTTATCTATGTTGAATCCATGTTTGATTTTTCTTTTTTCTTGATGATAGAATAAACAAACAAGTAACATTTTGTTTTCTCCCAGAAAATATTATATTTAGGATGGGCATAGATTCCACTGAGCACACAGAGTAAAATGTCTGCGGGAATCAGGGCTGAAATGTCATTTTAGATAACATGATCAATGCGTTCCCTGTAAAATAGTACTTTAACAGGACACATTAGAAACCCATATATGGCATCATCTTTTTCTCCTCCCCTTTCTGACAGTCTATGCTGAATTAAAGACTCTTTCCCCGGAAAATATATTGATGCATTTTTCATAAACCGATTCCTCTCTGTCTCCCTATCGCTCCTTTTTTACTTCCCCCCTCTCTCTCCCTTTCTCTCCCTCTTTTACATTCTAAAAAAACAAGTCTGCAATCAGATGCAGCAGTATAAACAGCCACCTCTGTGAGAAGAAGCGGAAAGCACATTTCTATAACAAAAACACTCAGACAAAACAAATTGCCACTTGAGCCGATTCCCATTGCACTAATTGATTGACCTGGTTGATGAGCATGCTGTTGTTTTTTTATTTTCTCTTTTATTTCTTTTCTCTTCCCCGCCATCGCTTAACCCTGGACTACACCCCCAACCTCCCCCCTCCTTCCCCCTTTTTTCTAGCTTTAATACTGCCATAGCATAGGGCGGGAAGGTAATAACATAACAACACTATGGCTTTTTGCTTTGCAGGAGAAAAATAAAGTTTTGATATATTATAACTGTCTTGGTCTTTCCAGCCTCCATATGTCCGTCCATGCAGAGACAGATCCCCATTGTCTTATTTATTTTTTTGCGTTGTCCTTCTCCCCTTCTCTCACCTCCTAAGATGGCTCAATGACCACTAATGTCTACTACGTTCATATTCAGGCATACAGGATACTGGTGAATGTGGCAGCGAGCTGGGGGCAGAGGCTTGGGGGCTTTGGGTTTAGGTGTGGTGGGGGGGGGCAGGGAGGGATCTCTTATTTAAAAGACCCAGGAACAGTCATGGAACATGGAACCCCCCCCCCCCCTCCCCTCTCAAATCCCCCTCTGAAGGATGGCTGCTGGTCCCTGTGGAAGAACCAACCCTCTTCCCCCCTCTCTCTCTCCCTCCCTCCTTCCTCTTCACTCTAACCATTCTACCCATATGTCTGTCTGTGTGTCCGTCTGTCTGCATCTCGCATCAACCACTATGACTGAGTGTATGCTCTGTAAAAGCTCCCCTTATTGAGTCTCACACCAACCCAGTAGGAGACAGTAACACTTGAAACAGACAGACACAGAGCATTATGCAGTGTGACCAACAGGAGGAGAACACACCCCATCCATCTCAATCCTTGGTAGTTGTCATATTGTTTATGTCCACAGCCCTCGGGGGAAGGACACAGTATCTCACACTTTATTCTGGGGCATTGGTTCTGTTTATTTTGCCCTTGACTAGATAATGTTGTGTCACATGGGACATTAAACGCGGGTGGCGAGGCGTAACTTAACACTTCTATAAACCCCCGGAAATTTCCAAAACTTAAACTAATCACAGAGGACTATACGTTAGCTACAGATATCCCATTCTGTTGCAATGCCCATACAAGCCACCCAGCGCCTCAGTATGTAGTTCTGATATACAACACAGGATAGCAATACATTATAGTAGTATTGGGAGCAACAGCAGGCTAGCATTCAAACATACCACAGCTAACATAGCTTGAGGTCTTCCGTTACAATAGGGTTGAAACATCAGACCGTTAACATACCTAGGGATCTTCCATCTATCAGTGCATGTGTGGTTATATCACCTCTTCCTCTCGGTCTTCTGTCTCCCACTATCCTGTATGCATCTCCTTGAATATCTGCATACATGAGAACACATGTCAAAGCATGCCTTTTGGATATTAATTTGCCTTGATAAAGACAAAGCAGTCCCTTGTGCTTTCCTAATCCTTGTCTTGAGAGAACTATTTTCTTTCAGATGGAGCACAAACAAACATAACTGTGTACTGTTACAAACCCTAGTGGCTTACTGTAAAACCAAGACCAAACAGAATTTCTCTACCTTCCCCCTTTCTACTGTATTCTATTGTGTTGTATTGATTCTGTTATTTCACCCTTTTCTATTGATGCAGGTTGTGTGTTTGTACGTGTGTGTGTGTGTGTGTGTGCGCGTGTGTAGCCCTAGTCCTAGGTGTGTGTGCGTCTCTTCAGTGTCTAACTCCTGTCTCTACCGTGGTTGGTTGGTCAGGTCATCTGGGGAGACCAGGAGTGGAGAAAAGCTAGAGCTGCAGATGAGCAACATTGGAGCTGACGTGTTGGAGCTGCTGCTGGAGTTTGTCTACACAGGTTCTCTGGTTATAGACTCCGCTAACGCCAGGACACTGCTAGAGGCTGCCAACAAGTTCCAATTCAACACCTTCTGCAAAGTCTGTGTGTCCTTCCTAGGTATGTAGCTATGGCACTGGGTGTGTGTTTGGGGGGGAGGCGGGGTGTGGTGTGTGTCTCATCACACTAAGCCTGAGTTTCCGTCGTTGGCGCATTGTCCCTCACACCCTTGCTGTCAGGTGTCCAAAGTTTCCACCGGAGTAAAAAAAGAGTTGCTTTCTAAACACCCAGAGCTTGGCTCGTTCTTAACCCTTTATACCTCATACCGCCTTTTTCTTTATATCTGAAAGGTCTAGACAGTAACAGACGCAGGACATTTATTTCCGCTTCTGGACCTAGTGATCTTTGTAGTATTTTCTCTATAGTTGTCGCTGTCTGTGTAAACATCACCTTTCATCTTGCCGGCTTTGGCATGCATTAAATTATGATCATTCTGTTTTCGTCCAACATCAAACTTGTCATTATGAAAAGTATACTGAACAAAAATATAAAAGCAACATGCAACAATTTAAATGATTTTACTGAATTACAGTTCATATAAGGAAATCAGTCAATTGAAATAAATGTATTAGGCCCTAATCTATGGACTGGGCTGGGGCTATCTGGCTAGCCAGCTTATAATTACCAGAACATACACTACCGGTCAAAAGTTTTAGAACACCTACTCATTCAAGGGTTTTTCTTTATTTTTACTATTTTCTACATTGTAGAATAATAGTGAAGACATCAACACTATGAAATAACACACATGGAATCATGTAGTAACTAAAAAAGTGTTAAACAAATCAAAAATATTTTTTATATTTAAGATTCTTCAAAGTAGCCACCCTTTGCCTTGATGACAGCTTTGCACACTCTTTGCATTCTCTCAACCAGCTTCATGAGGTAGTCACCTGTAATGCATTTCAATTAACAGGTGTGCCTTGTTAAAAGTTAATTTGTGGAATTTCTTTCCTTAATGTATTTGAGCCAATCAGTTGTATTGTGACAAGGTAGGGGTGGTATACAGAAGATAGCCCTATTTGGTAAAATACCAAGTCCAAACCACCTCAAGATAAAAACATAATATTCAAAATCACTAAGTTAGACTAATGATTAGCATTTCATAAATTCGCAGTTAATATAATTCAATCTGGATAATAACACAAAACAGATCATAAGGCTAGAGAAATATATCGACAAATATTACAACACACAACACCAAAACATGGCGGAAGATAAGTGAGGAGAGCCGATCCCCAAGAGAAAACGCGACTCGTCGACTGATACCAGACCCAATGGTGAAAAGCATATATCATCTGTAAGTGTGGAAAGCGACCTGTTGAAGTTGATAAATGACAAATTGGGCATACTAGAATTGGTCAGTAAGGACGTAAAAGAGTTGAAAGCGAGTCTTCAAATGAGTGACGAAAAAGCTTTGGTAATGGAGAAAGAAACCAAAAAATGAAAGTGACAGTCTCTAAGATGGAAACAGACTTAAAAAGGAGAACAACCTTCTGAAAGAAGCCTTACTAGACATCCAAACTAGATTGATGAGAGAAAATCTAGTACTTACGGGTATTCAGGAAAAGGAGGGAGAAATAACAGAGAAAATTATGAAGGACTTCCTGCATACAGCGCTACAAATCCCACTCGAGGCTGTCGATAAAATCCAACTCGAACGTGTACACTGTTTCGGAAAAAGAGGACAGAAATATGAGCGCCCAATCGTTGCCAAATTTGAATTTTTTAAGGATAAAGCAATGGTTAAAAGACTAGGGAAAAGACTTGCTGGCATGAAAATAGGCATGAATGATCAGTTCCCGAGGGAGATTGCAGAAAGGCGCAAAGTTCTGTATCCAATCTTCAAGGAAAACAGATGAAAAGGGAAACATGTTGCACTCGAGGTGGATAAACTGTATATCAACAACCAAATGTTCAGAGACACAAAGACTACTCCATGGCTATTCTAAAAGTAATTAGGGGGGGGGGGGGGTTTGGGATGGACCACGGGAATTATCTGCTTGGATAATAATTGCTTGTCAATAAATTAAATGTAATACAATGGCAATCCGGGTTGTATGTTAAAATCATACGCATGAACTGCCAACATTATTACGCATATTAATTGAAAATGATGGGAAATAGGATATGCATAATTTTTTAAAAATAGTTTATATCTAGAGGTGACAGCATTGGAAATGCTTTTGGCGGTTAATCTGCTTCTGTTTTGTGGGTGGCACTGTGTGCTGTTTTCGATGGATGGGTCCTGGCCTCTCGGACCCTTAGGGATACGGAGGGACGTGGGTGGGATGCCGATCACCGGGATGACTGCTCAACTTGGGATGGGGAGGGGCTTTAGCGGGTTAGTGGAGAACAATTGAAGGGTTACTCGGTAGCAATGCAAATATCACGGTACAGCTATATGGACACTCAATCATTACGGTACTTTTTTATTGGTAAATTTACAAACATATATAATGATAAATAGACTTGAAACTTGTATCTCATTATGGTGTATTGTGAAATAAGTATAGCCAGTTATAATTGTAATGGCTTAGCTGATAATAACAAAAGAAGAACAATATTTACATGGCTCAAAGAGAAGGAATATAATATCTATTGTATACTGGAAACTCATTCAACAATTCGAGATTAAGTTGCGTGGAAAAAGGAAGGGGGGGGGGGGGGGGAATGTACTTCTCCCATGGGCAAAGAAATTCAAAAGGGGTGATGATATTAATTAATAGTAATTTCGATCCGAATGTGCAAATTGTCCAAATAGATACGCAAGGTAGATGGATTATTTTAAATATGTTATTGGACCATAAACAGATATGGCTCATTAACCTTTACGGACCAAATAATGATGATCCACACTTCTTTGACAATATATATAATAAATGATCAACCCTGCAAGCAATTCAAGACAATATTATTATGGTGGGGGATTATAATACTGTTTTAAATAGCTCAATGGACCGTAAAGGAAATCACACCACAAACAATCACCCACATGCTCTTTAGGAAATTGTGAATGTCATGGATACATTAGAAGTAGTAGATATATGGAGGCTTAAATATACTGATCTAGTGAGATATACATGGCGGAGACTCAATCAAGCTAGTCGTATTGACTTCTTTCTTATCTCATTCTCGTTGGCACCAAAAGTTTAAAAAGTGTTGATAGGGGACAGAATGCGGTCGGACCATCATATAATTAGCATATACATTACTCTTACTGAATTTCCACGTGGGCGAGGATATTGGAAATGTAATCAAAGCCTATTGGATGATAATTTATTTATAATTAGAACAAAGGAATTTATAACTGACTTTTTCCGACATAACATAGGTACAGCAAATCCACTTATTGTATGGGACACCTTTAAATGTGCCTTTAGAGGCCATGCAATTCAGTACTCATCTCGAAAACAAAAGCAATTTAGGTCAAAAGAGTTTATACAGTGAGGGAAAAAAGTATTTGATCCCCTGCTGATTTTGTGCGTTTGCTCACTGACAAAGAAATGATCAGTCTAATTTTAATGGTAGGTTTATTTGAACAGTGAGAGACAGAATAACAACAAAAAAATCCAGAAAAATGCATGTCAAAAATGTTATAAATTGATTTGCATTTTAATGAGGGAAATAAGTATTTGACCCCCTCTCAATCAGAAAGATTTCTGGCTCCCAGGTGTCTTTTATACAAATAATGAGCTGAGATTAGGAGCACACTGTGGACACCTGTCCACAGAAGCAATCAATCAATCAGATTCCAAACTCTCCACCATGGCCAAGACCAAAGAGCTCTCCAAGGATGTCAGGGACAAGATTGTAGACCTACACAAGGCTAGAATGGGCTACAAGACCATCGCCAAGCAGCTTGGTGAGAAGGTGACAACAGTTGGTGCGATTATTCGCAAATGGAAGAAACACAAAAGAACTGTCAATCTCCCTCTGCCTGGGGCTCCATGCAAGATCTCACCTCGTGGAGTTGCAATGATCATGAGAACGGTAAGGAATCAGCCCAGAACTACATGGGAGGATCTTGTCAATGATCCCAAGGTAGCTTGGACCATAGTCACCAAGAAAACAATTGTTAACAGACTACGCCGTGAAGGACTGAAATCCTGCAGTGCCCGCAAGGTCCCCTTGCTCAAGAAAGCACATATACAGGCCCATCTGAAGTTTGCCAATGAACATCTGAATGATTCAGAGGAGAACTAGGTGAAAGTGTTGTGGTCAGATGAGACCAAAATCGAGCTCTTTGGCATCAACTCAACTCGCCGTGTTTGGAGGAGGAGGAATGCTGCCTATGACCCCAAGAACACCATCCCCACCGTCAAACATGGGAGGTGGAAACATTATACATTGGGGGTGTTTTTCTGCTAAGGGGACAGGACAACTTCACCGCATCAATGGGACGATGGACGGGGCCATGTACCGTCAAATCTTGGGTGAGAACCTCCTTCCCTCAGCCAGGGCATTGAAAATGTGTCGTGAATGGGTATTCCAGCATGACAATGACCCAAAACACACGGCCAAGGCAACAAAGGAGTGGCTCAAGAAGAAGCACATTAAGGTCCTGGAGTGGCCTGGCCAGTCTCCAGACCTTAATCCCACAGAAAATCTGTGGAGGGAGCTGAAGGTTCGAGTTGCCAAACGTCAGCCTCGAAACCTTAATGACTTGGAGAAGATCTGCAAAGAGGAGTGGGACAAAATCCCTCCTGAGATGTGTGCAAACCTGGTGGCCAACTACAAGAAACATCTGACCTCTGTGATTGCCAACAAGGGTTTTGCCACCAAGTACTAAATCATGTTTTGCAGAGGGGTCAAATACTTATTTCCCTCATTTAAAATGCAAATCAATTTATAACATTTTTGACATGCGTTTTTCTGGATTTTTTTGTTGTTATTCTGTCTCTCACTGTTCAAATAAATCTACCATTAAAATTATAGACTGATCATGTCTTTGTCAGTGGGCAAACGTACAAAATCAGCAGGGGATCAAATACTTTTTTCCCTCACTGTACTAATAAAGGAAATAGAAAGTCTAACAGAACAGATAATGGCAATAATAACTGTAACATAGAGGCTCAGAATAAATTAGAGGAAAAAGAAATGGAGAAACTTACTCAAGAAAGATCAAGTGTAATATATTATAAAAATAAAGCAAACTGGATGGAATATGGGGAAAAATGCACAGAATTCTTTTTTAATCTTCAACATAGGAATGCTACCAAAAATAACTTAATGAAACTGGTTACAATTGACGGAGTCACCCATGATTCACCAAATTAGGAGGAAACAAAGTACTTTAAGCATATGTTTTCTTTTCAGTCGCCTCCATCTCCTCTAACTGAAGCTACAGTGGGGAAAAAAAGTATTTAGTCAGCCACCAATTGTGCAAGTTCTCCCACTTAAAAAGATGAGAGAAGCCTGTAATTTTCATCATAGGTACACATCAACTATAACAGACAAAATGAGAAAGAAAAATCCAGAAAATCACATTGTAGGATTTTTAATGAATTTATTTGCAAATTATGGTGGAAAATAAGTATTTGGTCAATAACAAAAGTTTCTCAATACTTTTTTATATACCCTTTGTTGGCAATGACACAGGTCAAACGTTTTCTGTAAGTCTTCACAAGGTTTTCACACACTGTTGCTGGTATTTTGGCCCATTCCTCCATGCAGATCTCCTCTAGAGCAGTGATGTTTTGGGGCTGTCGCTGGGCAACACGGACTTTCAACTCCCTCCAAAGATTTTCTATGGGGTTGAGATCTGGAGACTGGCTAGGCCACTCCAGGACCTTGAAATGCTTCTTACGAAGCCACTCCTTCGTTGCCCGGGCGGTGTGTTTGGGATCATTGTCATGCTGAAAGACCCAGCCACGTTTCATATTCAATGCCTTTGCTGATGGAAGGAGGTTTTCACTCAAAATCTCACGATACATGGCCCCATTCATTCTTTCCTTTACACGGATCAGTCGTTCTGGTCCCTTTGCAGAAAAACAGCCCCAAAGCATGATGTTTCCACCCCCATGATTCACAGTAGGTATGGTGTTCTTTGGATGCAACTCAGCATTCTTTGTCCTCCAAACACGTCAAGTTCTATTATGGTTTCATCTGACCATATGACATTCTCCCAATCCTCTTCTGGATCATCCAAATGCACTCTAGCAAACTTCAGACGGGCCTGGACATGTACTGGCTTAAGCAGGGGGACACGTTTGGCACTGCAGGATTTGAGTCCCTGGCGGCGTTGTGTGTTACTGATGGTAGGCTTTGTTACTTTGGTCCCAGCTCTCTGCAGGTCATTCACTAGGTCCCCCCGTGTGGTTCTGGGATTTTTGCTCACCGTTCTTGTGATCATTTTGACCCCACGGGGTGAGATCTTGCGTGGAGCCCCAGATCGAGGGAGATTATCAGTGGTCTTGTATGTCTTCCATTTCCTAATAATTGCTCCCACAGTTGATTTCTTCAAACCAAGCTTCTTACCTATTGCAGATTCAGTCTTCCCAGCCTGGTGCAGGTCTACAATTCTGTTTCTGGTGTCCTTTGACAGCTCTTTGGTCTTGGCCATAGTGGAGTTTGGAGTGTGACTGTTTGAGGTTGTGGACAGGTGTCTTTTATACTGATAACAAGTTCAAACAGGTGCCATTAATACAGGTAACGAGTGGAGGACAGAGGAGCCTCTTAAAGAAGAAGTTACAGGTCTGTGAGAGCCAGAAATCTTGCTTGTTTGTAGGTGACCAAATACTTATTTTCCACCATAATTTGCAAATAAATTCATTAAAAATCCTACAATGTGATTTTCTGGAGAGAAAAAATCTCTATTTGTCTGTCATAGTTGACGTGTACCTACGATGAAAATTACAGGCCTCTCTCATCTTTTTAAGTGGGAGAAGTTGCACAATTGGTGGCTGACTAAATACTTTTTTCCCCACTGTAATTGTAGATATTTGTTTTCTATTGATAATGTAAAATTAACAGCCATACAGAAAGACTCATGTGAAGGTGAAATTACAGAGGAGGAACTTTTGGATGCAATTAAAGACTTTAAGTCCGGGAAAACTCCAGGGTTGGATGGCATACCAGTCGAGGTATACCAAACCTGTTTTGATATACTAAGAGGACCGTTATTAGCATGTTTTAACCTCTCCTATGTAAATGGTAGATTATCTGACACTCAAGAAAGAAGGTCTGATCTATAAAGATCCAGTCCATTAAAAAAATTGGAGGCCCCTTACACTTCAGTGTTGTGAAGGAAAAATTCTAGCAAAATGTATAGCGCATAGAATTAAAAAGGTATTGTCGAATATTATTCATTCTAATCAGACAGGTTTTTTACATGGAAGATACATTGGAGATAATATAAGGCAAGTATTGGAAACAATAGAACACTATGGAGAATATGGGAAATCAGGCCTGCTATTCATAGCAGACTTCGAAAAGGCAGTTGATAAAGTACGACTGGGGTTTATATATAAATGCCTGGAGCATTTCAATTTTGGAGAATCTCTTATAAAATGGGTCAAAATCATGTATGGTAACCCTAGGTGTAAAATAGTAAATAATGGCTATTTCTCAGAAAGTTTTAAACTGTCAAGAGGAGTGAAACAAGGTTGTCCACTATCGGCATATCTATTTATTGTGGCCATCGAGATGTTAGCTATTAAAATCAGATCCAATAATAATATCAGAGGATTAGAAATCCAGGGCTTAAAAACAAAGGTGTCATTGTACGCTGATGATTAATGTTTTCTTTTAAATCCACAACTAGAATCCCTCCACAGCCTCATAAAGGATCTAGATACATTTTCTAACCTATCTGGATTACAACCAAACTATGACAATTGTACTATATTACGTATTGGATCACTAAAAAATAAAAATGTTACATTACCATGTAGTTTACCAATAAAATGGTCTGATGTGGATATACTCGGAATACATATCCCAAAGGAAATAAATGATCTCACTTCAATACATTTTAATAGAAAGTTAGCAAAAATAGATAAGATCTTGCTACCATGGAAAGGAAAATACCTGTCAATTTGTGGAAAAATCACCCTGATTAACTCTTTAGTATTATCCCAGTTTACCTATTCGCTTATGGTCTTGCCTACGACTAGCGAACAGTTTTTTAAATTATATGAGAAAAAAATATTCAATTTTATTTGGAACGGCAAGCCAGACAAAATTAAAAGGGCCTATTTATATAATGAATATGAATTCGGAGGACAGAAATTATTAAATATTAAAGCATCAGACCTATCACTAAAAGCGTCAGTCATACAAAAGTTACACTTAAATCCGAACTGGTCTCACCCAATGTTCAAGAATGGCCTTTTTCTCTTTATTCAGATTACAACCTCTCATTTTCAGTTATCTGAAAAGGAAATCATCTCCCAAATATCACTATTTCTAAAACAAGCCATAGAAAGTTGGTTGCAATTTCAATTTAATCCTCCAGAAACGACAGAACAAATAATGCAACAAATATTGTGGTTAAATTCAAATATACTAATTGACAAAAAAACTAATTTTTTGACAAATGTTTAAAAAAGGTATAATCTTTGTAAATGATATCATCGGTAGGACTGGTGGAGTTATGTCGCACATTCAGCTAACAAAAACATATGGCAATGTCTGCTCTACCCAAAATTACAACCAAATAATTGCAGCCTTACTGCAAAAGTGGAAGGGGGAGAAAGTAAGGAACTTGTCTGTCGGCCTTGCATTAAAGAACATAATTGGTTAAGGAAAACTGTGATAAATAAAAAAGTATATCAGTTTCACTTAAGGACCAAAGGATTGACAGCCGTCCCATATAAATTTCAAAATAGTTGGGAAGAGATTTTTGACATACCGATCCCATGGCATAGTGTTTATGAACTGACACGCAAAACGACACCGGATTCAAAAATTAGAATCTTTCAATTTAAATTATTATATAAAATTCTTGCTACCAATAGAATGTTATTTATATGGGGGATACAATCTTCCCAGCTCTGCAGATTTTGCTGCGAAGAGACAGAATCATTAGATCATTTGTTTTGGTTCTGTCCATTTGTAGCTTGGACACAGGTCCAGGAATGGCTAAAGGATTGCAATATTTACCTGGAGCTAACCTTGCAGATAGCATTACTGGGTGATCTGAAAAGTCATAGTCAATCGATCAATAATGTAGAAGCAATGAGAATAGAAAGGTTCAGAACTTTTGTAAAACATCACAGTACGGTTGAAATATATATGGCAAATAGAAATCCTATATGGATGGTGTTAAAAGATAGATGGGAGGTATTGAATGGAGTTGAAGGATGGGACTAATAACAAATAACAATAAATAATAACAAGATAACTAATAATGTAAGCATACTGTGTCCATAATAAGTATATAGGTTGTATGTTGGGAGCTTTTGGGAAAGAGCACAGTTAGAAAGATATGGCATATAGAAGCAAACCGGATGGACATCATGAAAATGATCGCAGAGGTTGAGAGTAGAAGTAGTTCAGGAGCAAAAACAAATAAAATAGAATTCTTGTGAAATTGAATGTGTCCATAAGGTGTAGATAGTAAGTATAGGCTGGAAGTAGAGGCCTGGGCATTGTTGTTCACTAATTTACCCCAAGTAGGGAAAGGATGTCGGGGTTTGAAAAGCAATAAAGGGGAGTATATATATATAAGAAATATGGGGGATTGGAAGTGATGCAGACAATTACATTGATGGAAGTTACAATCTATCTGCAATATTAAGCTGGTCTACCCCCCCAAAAAAAAAAAATAATAATAATATATAAACAAACAAACATTCAAAAATACCAAGTCCATGTTATGGCAAGAACAGCACAAATAAGCAAAGAGAAACGACAGTCCATCATTACTTTAAGACATGAAGGTCAGTCAGTCCGGAAAATGTCTTCAAGTGCAGTCACAAAAACCATCAAGCGCTATGATGAAACCTGCTCTCATGAGGACTGCCACAGGAATGGAAGACCCAGAGTTACCTCTGCTGCAGAGGATAAGTTCATTAGAGTTACCAGCCTCAGAAATTGCAGCCCAAATAAATGCTTCACGGAGTTCAAGTAACAGACGCATCTCAACATCAACTGTTCAGAGGAGATTGCGTGAATCAGGCCTTCATGGTGGAATTGCTGCAAAGAAACCACTACTAAAGGATACCAATAAGAAGATGAGACTTGCTTGGGCCAAGAAACACGAGCAATGGACATTAGACCGGTGGAAATCTGTCCTTTTGGTCTGATGATTCCACATTTTGAGATTTTTGGTTCCAACTGCCTTGTCTTTGTGAGATGCAGAGTAGGTGAACGGATGCTCTCCGCATGTGTGGTTCCCACCGTGAAGCATGGAGGAGGTGGTGGGATGGTGTGAGGGTGCTTTGCTGGTGACACTGTCTGTGATTTATTTAGAATTCAAGGCACACTTAACCAGCATGGCTACCACAGCATTCTGCAGCGATACGCCATCCCATCTGGTTTGCGCTTAGTGGGACTATCATTTTGTTTTTCAACAGGACAATAATCCAAAACACCTCCAGGCTGTGTAAGGGCTATTTGACCAATGAGAGTAATGGAGTGCTGTGTCAGATGACCTGGCCTCTGAAATCCCCCAACCTCAACTTAATTGAGATGGTTTGGGATGAGTTGGACCGCAGAGTGAAGGAAAAGCAGCCAACAAGTGCTCAGCATATGTGGGAACTCCTTCAAGACTGTTGGAAAGCAATCCTCATGAAGCTGGTTGAGAGAATGCCAAGAGTGTGCAAAGCTGTCATCAAGGCTACTTTGAAGAATCTCAAATATATTTTGATTTAACACTTTTTTGGTTACTACATGATTCCATATGTGTTATTTCATAGTTTTGATGTCTTCACTACTATTCTACAATGTAGAAAATAGTAAAAATAAAGAAAAACCCTGGAATGAGTATGTGTTCTAAACCTTTTGACCAGTAGTGTATCTTTATTTTCTTATTTATTTATTTCACCTTTATTTAACCAGGTAAGCCAGTTGAGAACAAGTTCTCATTTACAACTGCGACCTGGCCAAGATAAAGTAAAGCAGTGCGATTAAAAACAACAACAGAGTTACATATGGGGTAAACAAAGTAAAAAAGACAACAAAATATATATACAGTGTGTGTGAATGTAGTAAGTTATGGAGGTAAGGCAATAAATAGGCATAGTGCAAAATAGTTACAATTTCGTATTAACACTGGAATGATAGATGTGCAAATGATGATGTGCAAATAGGGATACTGGGGTGCAAATTAGCAAAATAAATAACAATGCGGGGATGAGGTAGTTGGGTGGGCTAATTTCAGCATCTGACAACGTTTTGAGTTTAACTGTAGCCAATGTTTTATTCATCATAACAGGAAAATCAACACATTACAAGCTAATTATTTACAAGTATGGTGTTATAAAAATAGCTAACTTACAGTTGTTAATATGAAGAAATGAACTCGGTGCATTCTGTCGGTGGAATGTAGAACTTGATGGTGCTACGCACAAACAATGGGACTCTTTGGAAGGGGATCATATAAACATTGCCATATAAAAAAACAACAACTTTGAATGAGCTCTTCCCCTCTCCTCTCGGCCCTCAGGGTTTAGGAGGTGCCAGGACAGATTCATAAGAAGGTCAGGGAACAATTGTCAAGTTAAATGTCAAATCCCACAGATGCTCTAGGCCAATCGATACCTAGACAAGGCAGGGATGAGGATATGGGTCTGGGAAAAAGAGGTGAGGGGAGGGGTGTTTGAAAGGTTGGTGGGGGGGCGAGCCCAGGGGTCAACTGAGGAGCAAATGCATAGTCATGGGTTTAGGAGGTCAAGGGACTGGGAAATTGTAAATGTCAGCTTATACTTACCATTTAATGGAGATTGGTGGGGAGAGCTGTAAGGCAAGGTAGGGATATGATGTCTGGATATGAGATGAAAAAGGTCAGAGCTGTAAAGGAGAGGGAAAAGACTGTGAAAATAAATATTGATCTGTTTTTCTCGTTTCATCCGACGATATGGACTTGTTAAAAACAGGGAAACCATTTGTAGTGTAGTCAGACTTCATCACAATCAGTACATCAGTCCATTCCGCCCGCCTGAACATGATTCATGACATTTAATTGTTAGAATGGAGACATAGTAGTAATAATAATAGATTTGATTTGTATAGCGCTTTTCATTACAGCAAGAATCTCAACAACGCTCAAGTGCAGTGTATGACAGTGTATAACCTTGGAAAAAAGAAATTGATATTATATCAAGGATATTGAAATTCTTAACAAATGTACTGAAGAGAAATGGAAGAAATGAACTTGGCCTAGTTTGGCCATGGTGTATTGAGTTGATCCGATTTTTGAGTGTGACAAAAACACCAAAAACACATTTCAATACACATGGGTAACCTATATTGCACATTATATTATTTGCCCAAATATTAGAACATCAAGTCACAAGAAATAGAAAACTGATCCAACCAACACAATGTAATGTGTACAGTTATACAACACATCTACAAAGTCATTACATGTAGATGGAGCACGAGCACCATAGAAGTTACATGGTCATTCATTATGGCAGTTAGTGCGAACAGATGCTATGTTTTTGTGCAGGGTAATTCAGAAATCACTGAAAGCCATAAAATCAAAATTCTTGTAATTCTGTCTACTGCTCTGTAAAGGTATTGATCCATCTAGCTCTAGTTATTACCCCTGTCTCTCAGACAAAGTACAAACACATATTCTCAATCACACCACAAAATAATAGTTATATTAGTTTGTTTTCCTGTTCAGCTTCAGCACACTGAGTAAACCTTAGAATTGAATAACACACTTTGATGTCATACAAACCCTGTTTTGTTTAGATATGCAGTCTGATGTTTGTATCGTTGTGGCTCTGTGACTTTTCCTTGTGATGTTTGTATAGGCAGCAGACACACACACACACACACCAAGGTCTTTACCTGCAATACTAATCCCTGCTATGCCGTTCCAGACCCCCGCCTGGCCGTGCTCAGTAGGCTCCTAACGATTGATTCCCCTTTGTCCCTGGAGCTGTTTCAGCTATTACAGTCTCTCTCCAGCCCCAGATAAACACACAGATAGACCACAACTCTCGCCCTGCTTTCTCCCCCTCTTTCCAGACAGTTTTTTTATGGGATGTGTGAATGACAATCTCTCCATCTCTCTCCCTTTTTCCTCTATCTTTCTCTCCTCTCTTTTTCTCCCCATTCCCCTCTCTCGCTCTCCCCCTCTCTCTGCAGAGAAACAGCTAACAGTGGGGAACTGTCTAGGTGTGCTGGCCATGGCTGAAGCTATGAGATGTACAGAGCTCCACAACATGGCCAAAGCCTTCGCGCTGCAGAACTTCCCTGAGGTAGGTGGATTTAATGGATGGATGAGTGAATTTTTAAACCTAAAAATAATCTACCACACTGTGTATCTGTGTGAAAGGTCTTTATCTGCAGTACTAATCCCTGCTATCCCGTCCCAGTCTACCGTAACACCTGCCACACATGATAAAAACAGTGCATGAACTCCAGGATTTTCATCCCAATCAAGTGTCAACCCTCTGTGCTCTAGGTGGCGGGGCAGGAGGAGATTCTGTGTGTGACTAAGGAGGACCTGGTGGCCTACCTGTCTAATGACAGCCTCACCACCAAGGCTGAGGAACTGGTCTACGAGACCGCCATCAAGTGGATCAAACAAGACCCCACCGCCAGAGTTCAGGTAAGGCGGGGCGGGGGGGGAGGAGAGGAGGGAGCTAGTGGTAACAAGGTAGGAGTGATTCAATTTTTACTGGTCCATTTTCACCATGTTCATTCAGCGTTTATGGGTACTGTATGGCCTGGTTTGATGTGGTAATGCCATATAGCCCTCTGATCTAACCTGGTTAATCAGGACTTAATGCTGTTCTGACAACACCATCTGTCTACAGTATCATCACACATACACACACACACCAACCATTACCCCATACAGTACGTCCTGGTTTCATTTTTGTGCTGATCATGTCTCATCTCTGTATCTGTTTTCTACACCAGAATCCCTCCTATCTGTGACTAGAGCTCCTAAAAGGAGAAATACATTAAAAAGCTAGTGCTGTGTAGAGACAGAGACTCCGTTATGCATGTCCCCAGCAGAGTCCTATCACCCTCTAGTCTATATTAAGTCTCGTTAAGCTATATTTAATATGCATCACCCACTTCCTCCTCTAGACACACTAACAAGCAGATACAGTACTCTTCTCCCTCTATCGTCCCATACCTACCGTCACAGTGCTCTGCCCTGCATCTGAAGAAATTAAACACCTGTAAAATCATGCAGACTGGTAGTTAGGTTTTAATAGTATGGTTCTCATAATGACGACATTGTCCGCGAGAGGGAATTAGCTTGCTGTCGGTTTAAATACACTGTGATACAGTATGAACATTCTGAGTGGGGGACACTGTTCTGGCAGCTTCCATTAATCTGCAGCTTTTTGAATTGGGGTCTTGGTCTGTGTTTCTAGGAAATGATAATGCAATGGAATCATGTCATATTCCTCAGATATGCATGGACAGAGGAGTGTCCACTATGTCACAATTTTACACATAAAACTGGTGGTCGATAAGTTTCAGGGTCAATACATCGACTAACTAACCTCCATGAATATGGAAGAAGATAACATGGATTGTAGAAGAGATCACCGCAGGATTCAGACCATTATGGATCCAATACTAAGGCTGCATCCCTAATGAAACCTTGTTCCCTATTTAGTGCATCCCATTCCCTGTTTAGTACTGTACTTTTGACCAGGACCCAAAGGGCTCTGGTCAACAGTTGTGCACTATATGGGGAATAGGGTGCTGCAGTGGAGTGCAGGCTAAAACACCATGAATAAAGCAGTCTTGACTGCTGTTTAACAATGGAGCTGAGATGAGTAACGTGTTAAAACAGTTCATTACTGGGAACGTCACTCAGTCAGAATAACGTCCTCTCATCAGATGGACTGGTGGTAGAAACTGCTTGGACGTTGTAATGGTCTCAGCTACTATAGACATTAGTCTTTGTATTTGCCAGATTCAATGCCAGTAGAAACTACTTCCATAAATTGAGTTGGTCTTTATAATGGTGCTTGCTACTATAGACATTAATGTCTGTGTTGGCCATAGAAAGGCAGTTCTTAGAGGCAGTTTAGGCTAAATTATCAAATAAGTGTTTTGACTGAAACTTTCTCTCAGGCCTTGACGTTTCACATTATAAAATCATTGTAAAGCTCTGCCTTCTACAGAGAGGGTTTTTAGAAGGATGTCTTTTCTAAAGTGCTGGATGAAAGACCTACTGTCCAAACAGCAGTCAAGACATTACAAGGCGATGCAGATAATGGGGAAATACACAGGATGTAAGTGAACTGTGTGCAGCAAACGCACTGCACAAAATTGAGTGTGAGTCCTTAACAAGGTTAGAGTGTTGGGGTAGTTTCACACACACAATGACTTCTGTTCTAGTGAGGATGAAAGTCAGTCAGAAAGGCTTGGACCAATCACTTCCGTTTAGCTCAGCGCAGTTCAGCAGTAATCTCACAGCCTATTGGACAGGAGAGAACAGTGAATCAGACCTTGGCAGGGAAACAAGGTGAAATGGGAATGGGACAGACCATTTCACCTGCCATCCACTCTTCCTCCTTTCCTCCTTCCTTCTGTGCCACCTTGTCACAAAGTCCCAGATAAAACTAATCCCTTATAGCAGTCAGCAGTTTCTCAAATGGAGGGTCGGGACCCACTGGTGAGTCACTGCTCATTCCTTTTTGTGGCTGATACCGTTTGGGTCACAGCTTTAGACTTGGGTCTTTGGTTTTGTTTACTCACAAGAACACACTCCCGAAGGTGCGATTTAGAGAGACGGAGGAAGAGATACAGTGAGCGGCGAGGGCAGAGGGGGGTCCCTGTGTTCAGATATTAACTCTCTGCTGTATGTCTTGACATTATAGGAGTGGAGCTGTGATGGAGCTCAGGGCCAGTCTCAAGTCTAGGGGCCATGTGTGACAGACACACTGAGACTAATGACGCTAGAGAGAGGGAGGGGACCCCAGTCTAGAGAGCGAGTGGTTGAGTTGACACGCTCTGCTCACCACGAGCTCATTTTCACTTACCCTTTCTCCCTCCCTCCACACCTCCCTCCGTCCTGCCATTTGGAAAAGGAGAGTAGTGGAAATCGCTCCCCCTGAACCTGTGAAATGTTTTAATGGTACGTCAGGAACGATTGTCACAGGGCTGACACACTCTGAGAGGAAGGGGGGGGGGGGAATACAACTGCTGGGGGCTGTGTGTGTGCGTGCATAACACAGCACTGGCAAGTTGGCGGTGGCTGAATAAATAATATGCAATTTCTTTCTGTTATGTTGTCTCAAACATCCGCTAGAATAAATACCGGAGCTCGACATCACTTGGAGACACATGGAGATAGCGTTAATTATGGGTTTGTGGAAGACTCACAAGGTTAAGAATAGAAAGACAAACACAGACACACACACAATAGAAAGATTAGGAATAGAAAGACACACAGAAAGGAAAATAGAGTTTAAATGAGTTCAGGAGGCTGTGAATCAGAAAGATATGAATCTTCTACTGATCATAGCGCCCAGCTAAATAGTCTCTTTCATGCTAGACTCACTGCTGAAATACCTAGACCATGGATCATCAACTAGATTCAGCCGGGGGCCGTTTTTTTCTTTTTTCTTAAGCGGATGGTTGGGGGCCCCGGAACATAATTACAAATCCTTTGTAGACTGCAAATTGACCGCAAGAAGCCCAAACAGATATGTTTAACCAAACATAATCATTTCAAACCTTACTTACATTTGTATACGATCACGTCTCTATTATACGTGAGAATACTTGGGAACAGATTTCTTAAATTAAAATCACTTGGAGCTGATTTCCTGGTGTTTTTACAGTCTTATGTCCAACAATGAACATGCCCCAATTTCTTTAATTATTATAATTTTTTTGCTCAGAAAACTTGGTGGGCATTACATTACATGGACTATGGGTCTGAGCTGCTAGTATGGTGTTAGTGGCTAAAATATGCTGTTTAAACGTTGTCCTGTTCATTCCCCACCTTACATAAAAGGTGGGTGGGAGAAGAGTGGTGTCCCTTAGCTCAGGGTGCTTTCATACGAAATTGGTTTGGAGCGTAATTTTTTCGCGTTTCCCCCCAATTTCCCCCTTTCCGTTAGTTTGGACTGATGTAAAACACTGTCCACATTCGGGAGCACACTAAACAAGACCAAAGTGAAAGTAATATGAAGTTTGGGACAAGTTATGCTTCTTGATAATCATAGATGGATTTAACATGAGCATTTTTCTTCAATAAACAAATTATTTGCATGAATATGTGGCTTTATTTAGGCATTTTAGTTCGTGAAACTAACTGGAACAAATGAAAAAAATTAGAATGTAACAAATCAAACTGATTCGAACTATAGCTCAGAACTATGTGTGAAAACGCCCTTAGTGAAGCTGTTGACAGTGAGAGACTGTAACCCACAGAGGCATTGTAGTACAAACCAAATACACATCCTACCAATTATACCTACTACCCCCTCTCCCTGCCAAGACCTCTATAGGCCCTTTGTGTGTGTGTGTGTGTGTGTGTGGACCTGAATAGCCCCTCCATTATGCTCTAATAGAACATATTTCATGGGGATCCTATCTCACCTGGTAGAACAGGCTGACAAAGGAAGGTGATTAATTGGCTCTTTGAGGAGAGGGAGAGGTGGGGGGGGGGGGGGGGGAGAGGGCTAGAAAGAGAAAGAAAAAGAGGGGTGGGCAGCCTGTGATGTTTAAAAGGACATTTAATGGTGGATTTAGTAGATAAAAAGAGCCTGTCGTTCACTTCGCTATGGAAAAAGACCTCAGAGTTCACGCTTCAAAAAATAACAATGGACATCTGACGTTTGCCATTTCAGAACCCGCTAATTGTAAAGTATTTCAAATGAATGGAAAAATTAGATTTTATGGTAATACTTTTATAGTGCCTTTCTCTTAGTGAAGGTCTTTCAAATGTGTTAAAGCAGGTATAGAGAAGAAATGGAAAGAGTAGTAGTTATCATGTATCCAGAGCAAAATAAAATAATGCAGGTTTTCAAGTGGGACTGAAGTGTGCACTTGTCTGTTGTAGTGGACTATACTTGATACAGAAATCAATATTATACCTCTATTGAAATCAGTGAACTGAAGAAACCTCGTTGTCCTCATCTGCTTTCTATGATACTGCATTTTATATAAACATTGGAGCACAAAAGACTGTCCTTCACCACAAAAGAAGTGTGTACACAGACTGTCTTTGCTGTGTAGCAACTGTAGTGCATACGATAATATTGTGTTTAGGGTTGTGACGGTCATGGAATTTTGGATGACTGTAATTGGCCAGCCAAATGACTGCGGTCTCTGTAATAAACGTTGAATAGCAATAAAACATTTAATATATTTTTTAGATGCACATCTTTTTTTCACCTTTATTTAACCAGGTAAGCCAGTTGAGAACAAGTTCTCATTTACAACTGCGACCTGGCCAAGATGAAGCAAAGCAGTGCGATTAAAAACAACAACACAGAGTTACATATGGGGTAAAACAAAACATAAAGTCAAAAATACCACAGAAAATATATACAGTGTGTGCAAATGTAGCAAGTTATGGAGGTAAGGCAATAAATAGGCCGTAGTGCAAAATAATTACAATTAGTATTAACACTGGAATGATAGATGTGCAAGAGATGTGCAAATAGAGATACTGGGGTGCAAATTAGCAAAATAAATAACAATATGGGGATGAGGTAGTTGAGTGGCTAATTTCAGAAGGGCTGTGTACAGGTGCAGTGATCGGTAAGGTGCTCTGACAACTGATGCTTAATGTTAGTGAGGGAGATAAGAGTCTCCAGCTTCAGAGATTTTTGCAGTTCATTCCAGTCATTGGCAGCAGAGAACTGGATGGAATGGCGGCCAAAAGAGGTGTTGGCTTTGGGGATGACCAGTGAGATATACCTGCTGGAGCACATACTATGGGTGGGTGTTGC